AAAAAAAAAAAAAAAAAAGAAACGAAGCAAGAATGTCACAATATTGGCTGGGCACCCATAGCTCAGTAGTTAGGGCACTAGCCACATGCACCAGGGCTGGTGGGTCTGAACCCGGCCGGTGCCTGCTAAACAACAACAAAACATGCCCAGTGTCATGGTGGGCATCTGTAGTCTCAACTACGGAGAAGGCTGAGGCAAGAGATTTGCTTGAGCCCAAGAGTTTGAGGTTGCTGCCCCAGCACTCTACAGAGGATGACAAAGTGAGACTCTGTATTAATTTAAAAAAAAAAAGGGCAGCGCCCGTGACTCAAAGGAGTAGGGCACCAGCCCCATATACAAGAGGTGGCGGGTTCAAACCCAGCCCCAGCCAAAAACTGCCAAAAAAAAAAAAATAATAAATAAAGAATGTCACAATATTGCTAATTGTAAAAGCTGATGAATGAATTCATGGGAATTCATTATACAGTCTCTGCCTTTTGTACACATCTTAAAGTTTTATAATAATGCTATTCAGTTATAAAAAGGAATAAACTAATAATTTCTTAATATATGCAACAAGATAAATAAGTCTCAAAAATATTATGTTGAGTGAAAGAAGCTTGACATGAAACAGTATATGAGTCTATGGCTTAACGCCCATAGCTCAATGGGTAGGGTGCCAGTCACATACACCAGAGCTGGCGGGTTCGAATCCAGCCCAGGCCTGCCAAACAACAATGACAAATACAACCAAAAAAACAGCCGGGCTTTGTGGCAGATGCCTGTAGTCCCAGCTACTTGGGAGGCTGAGAATCACTTAAGCCCAAGAGTTTGAAGCTGCTGTGAGCTGTGATGCCAGGGCAACAGCTTGAGACTCTGTCTCAAAAAAAAAAAAAAAAACAAATGAGTCTAACCTAAGTGCCCACCAAATGATGAATGGATTAAAAAAATAAGAAAATAGCCGGGCATTGGGGCAGATGCCTGTGGTCCCAGCTACTCGGGAGACTGAGGCAAGAGAATCACCTAAGCCTAGGAGTTGGAGGTTGCTGTGAGCTGTGTGACGCCATGACACTCTACCGAGGGTGATAAAATGAGACTCTATCTCTACAAAAAATAATAATAATAATAATAAGAGAATGTGATATATATACAATGGAGTAATATTCAGTCATACAAAGAATGAACTCCTGTCATTTTTACCAACATGTCTGGAATTGGATGTCATTATGTTAAGTATAATAAGCCAAGCACAGAAAGAGAAATATGGCATGTTCTCACCATATGTGAAACTAAAAAGGTGAATCTCAAGAAGAAAGAGAGCTAGCCGGGTGTTGTGGTGGGTGCCTGTAGTCCCAGCTACTTGGGAGGCTGAAGCAAGAGAATTGCTTGAGTCCAAGAGTTGGAGATTGTCGTGAGCTATGACACTATGGCATTCTACCGAACAAAGTGAGACACTGTCTCAAAAAAAAAAAAAAAAAATTTAATTTTTTAAGCTACTTACAAAACTTATGTCATCGAATGTGTTTTTTGTTTAATTTCATTTGTATATTTTACTTTACTTTGAACATTAGCTGATCTCTCACATAATTGGAGGTTAATAGTTGTAAATCACATGACTCACCAACATAGAATGGCTCTTACTTTGGGGGCCTGTTATTTAGTCTTAAAACCGTAATGGAAGTAGAAATTTAGGAAAATTAATTTGTATTCCACTTTTAATCTGTGAATCTTGGATTACTTTCTAGGCCATTATTATGTATCCCTTCTATCTGCATCATCTAGATTCACATATCGGCTTGGCGCCTGTGGCTCAAGCGGCTAAGGCACCAGCCACATACATACACCTAAGGTGGTGGGTTCGAATCCCCAGCCCGTACCTGCCAAACAACAATGA